ATCCTATTTACAAACACTATTAGAACAAATCCCTCTATTCATTAAGAGAATGCAACTGTATATCTATCGTAACCATTTTGAATACACAGATAAAAAATGTACATTCATCTGGATCCTCTTTTTTTTTGTTAAGTTCCGTTATTTGAATATTATAGGTGTGTTAACTCAGCAAAATATTCTAAAAGAGTCCAGCAGTCCATAATAGTATTGGGGACTTTCCAATAAGTTTTGCACAGAAAGAAATGTACCCAAATGTCATCAGTGAGTCTTTATTGGAAAAGCACAGAAAGTGTTTTCAACATTTCTAGTCTGTTTCTCTCAAGCTGTCTTTCTTGTTCTGTGATAGGTTATCCTAAGTGTTTTTTTATACTTTTGACAAGAAAATAAAAGATGAATGTCGGATGAAAGATCGTCAGTCTCTCTTTTCTCTGTTCTCGAGTGTCTGCATATAAGGGATCTGAACAGTCCAGCATTTTGCCTGGTCCTGTCACAAGGTTTGAACACTTCTAGAGCTCAATATCTGTTGCATCCTGAAAACAAACTGAAACAACACAAAGTAATCAAAAACCATGATGCATCTCCATGAGATCTGAAATTCAGGTGGTTTGATAAAGATGCTGGCCTGAGTAGGAACATGTTTTATTCATGGCAGTTACGGGGCACATGTTTAGCTCTGTTCTAAATTCATATTTTGTGTTGCCAATTGGTTAATGAAAGGAAAACAAACTTCTTCTGATGCTGCACCAGCTGCACACTCAAGCCCTGCAGAGAAACATCCCCTGTCCTTGCTGAGAGCAGTGATGTGATTGGGGTACCTGGATGATGCCGTCTGACAAGCATGCCCAGCTGGGGCTCTATCTGTCAGCAACTATCTAGTTTATCTCATCTGCTGTCAGTTTTCTTCTCCAGGGGCTTGGGAGATAGTTCAGTAGAATAAGCGTTTGACTGGCAAGCACAAGGTCCTGAGTTCAATCCCTGGTACCGAAAAACAATATCAGTTTTCTTCCCCAAAGCCCGAAAAGGGAATATTGCCAAGATACTAAACTGTAGTGTTAACCCAGTAGCCAATCAGGATTAACAATGAGGACAGCATTCACTATTTTTCTTCTATAATGAATGTTTATATTCCTTTATTTTTTGTATTTGAAATTTTATGGTTCCTATCCTGAGGGCCAAACTACAGATATCAAGATGGCCATTTCAGATATGGTATAACTATCTATGGGTAACCCCCGCTAGAGGACATCTTAGTAGAAAAATCCTCTTATGTTGAGAAGAGAAAAATAACTCCTATTCTCATTGACCTAACTCTACTAAATACTTGGGATGGACACTGCCCCAAACAATGTATACACACACTAGCTTTACAGGCTGAACATTGGTTTGTAGCCAATTGATTTAATTGACCTGGAATTAGATGGGAAGCCTTAGTGTCACTCATTGGTCCCATGGAACCAATCCATGACTCTGTATACTCTCTGGATGGACAGGAAGCTGCACAGCAGGACTTGAATGATTACAAAGCAGAAGTGTCAGAATTACTGACAAACCTGCACACTTGCCCCACCTATGGCATTGATGGTCTGGAAGTGTGTTCTCTGGTACAATCATTTGGCTTCTATCTTTATCCTCTCCCTAGGGTTAAAGACTGTCATGCAACACGTCAAAGCCTTAACTAACTGTACTCAGTGGACCTTAAACAAAACTATGGCTGGTCTCGTCTGAATAAAGAGTAAAATTAATGAGGCAAGACTTTCTTCAAAATTGGACGATCTTAGATATTCTAATAGCAGCACAAGGGAGTACTTGTGTAATTATAGAACGTGAATGTTATGTGTTTTTTCTTGTCCTACTAATATCTCAATAGGTGGTCAAGATATTGATGATAGATTAATGACATGTCAGATTCTGAAATTCCTGGACCTTCTCCTTCTCTTCTTTATGGAAAGCTATTACTGGCTCTTCCTAGGAGAAAAGCTTACTGGCCGTAATTATCCTATTGATTTTATTATTTGCCCATGCATACTTAATTGTTTCTGAGGCTTTCTCTCCCAAGACTTAAAGCTGTACATCTTTTTAAAAATTTTTTTGCCATAATTTTATTGATAAACAAATAGCAATGAGACAGTTTCAAATTAAATCGGTAGAAAAGCTGTACATCTATCCAAGACAAGAACATTTGACCTTTAGATAGACCCTCTGTGGAGTATCTATGACTGCAGGTCATAGCTACAAATCTCTTCAGCTGAAAGTAGCCAGCTTGGTCTTTGACCCTTGCCCCCTCAGAGCAGTTAGGGGTACTTCTTTGCAGGGATGGAGGGAACTATTATAGGTAGCTAAGTAGTCAGACAGTGTAGGGTCTTTGAGAGGTCAGTGCAGAAGACAACTGTGGCCTGAGGCGTATTCACTGAAGGTCAGGCTTCAAGAAAAAGAACTACTCACCCATATATTTTCCCTAGGAATGAACAGAGTGATTGATGTTATGAGAAGGCACCAATCACCTTGGGGTGGAGGACCATAGCTCCTTAACCCATCCCTTCCAGGAAAATTTTTGTCGATCCTACATGTGCTGGCTACGTGACTTGCTTCCCCATTTGATTTCAATTCAATCAATATTTCTCAAGCAACTACACTTGTTGTATACTTGTTGATTGAGCATGATTTTATCCCACCTCACACCTATCCCATGATGCCATTGGATCAATACTACCTAAATGACTTTACTTGTAATCTTATTGATTGTTTATAACTCCGTCCTACCTTAAGCCTGTCTCACCTTGTGGCTTTGCTCAATAAAAAACCCTTGAGATCTGGGGTCAGTGGGCAACCCACTTTCTGGGTCCCCTTCTTTCTCTCTCAGACAGAAGTTTTCTTTCTATCAATAAATTTTTCCTACTCTTAACAAAAAAAAGAAGAGAATCTTACATGTCACAGACTTTTTGGATTTTCCCATGAAAATAGCTAATAACTGCCTACTACCTATTTATGAGTCCCCAAGTGTGTTTTTAACATGTTAGCTGGGCAAAATATTCCCAGCTAGCATGTAGAATTTAGGTCATTATGATGAATTCTATCTAGGGACGAGAAATGTTACCCAGTAAGTGTTTGACTCATTGTTGAGAGAAAATTAGACGCCGCTTACCCAGACCATCTTGGTCAATGTG